CTTAAGTTTGAGGGAGACTTTTCTATCACACAACAAGCCCGATGCATTTCTACACTTCAACTATCCAACTTGAATTCTACTGATAATATCCCCATCTATTTCACCATCACTCTGAATAATAGATCCAAGATATCTAAAATATGTACTCTTATTAATGACTTGATCGCCCAAAGTCACAATCCCCCACTAGATCAAGCACTACTAAAATTACACTCCATATATCCAGTTTTAGATCTACTAAATTGAAAACCTTTTTAGACTCTAAGTTTGATATCCATAATTCAAGTTTACCATCAACTCCCTTTATAGTCTTATCAACAAGAAGAATATCATCAACAAAAAGCATACACCAAGGTACATCCTCTTGCAAATGTCTAGTGAGAACATCCATGACTAAAGCAAAAAGATATGGGCTTAAGGCTGATCCTTGATGTAATCCAACCGAAATAGGAAAATACTTGGTCAACCCACCTTGTATATGAACACAAATAATAGCTCCTATATACATATCTTTAATGATTTGAATATAAGCATTTTTAACTCCTTTCTTTTCAAGAACTCTCCATAGCACTCCTCTTGAAACTTTACATATTTTCTCTAAATCAATAAATATCATATGTAGATTCTCCTTATTCTCTCTATATTTCTCCATCAAACTTAGGGGAGTAAACGAGTCGAGTCAATTCAAGTTTTAACACTATCAAGCTCAGCTCGTCAGTTGAAAAGCGAGCTCGAACTCGAGCTCGTCCCACTGTAAACGAGCTAGAGCCGACTCGTCGAGGCACTCGATTTTTGTGCCCGTTTTCAATTTCCCGCCCGGTTTCCGTTTTCCCGCCCTATTTTCATTTAGGAGAAAATAAAGCTGCAGCTTTCTCCAATGTAATAAATATACATATGGATTGATAGAATTAAAAAGGTTGTAGCTTTTAAGCCTTATTAACGAGCTCATTTAGAGAGAGAGAGATGGAGAGAGAGACAGAGGGATTGAGCATTTTTTTTCTACTGTCAGAGAGGTATTAGCATTATTATTCAAGTGTGTGTGTGTGTGAGAGAGAGAGAGAGGGGCATAGTAGCAGATTTCAAAATCAAGCTTTGAAAATTCTTGAAATACATGCAGGTGGGAATTTAAAATATAGGTGGGAGTGGGATTTATACATCATTTATTATTAATTATTTTAAAATATTTAAATCTAATAAATTCGAGCTGACTCGTGAGCTCACGAGCCAAGTCGAGCTCAAGCTCGAACTCGAGCTCGTTTACTAAATGAGCTCGAGTTTGAGCTCGAGATTGACTCGTGAGCTCGATAAGCTCGGCTTGCGAGCCCATAAATGAGTCGAGCTCAAGCTGGCTCGGCTCACATACACCCCTAATCAAACCTCTCAATAAATGTTTGGCTTCCATGGTAGACCTACTCGGCATGAATCCAAATTGATTTTGAGAAACATTAGTATCACGCCGCAACTTAAGCTCCATAACTCGCTCCCATAATTTTAAAGTATGAACAATTAATTTAATTCCTCTATAATTCGCACAATTTTGTGCATCTCCTTTATTCTTAAAAATATGAATCAACATACTCATTCTCCACTCATCTTACATCTTTTTAGGCTTCAAAATAGTATTAAAAAAGTTTAATAAGCCAAGAAATCCCTTCATCTCCTAAGCATTTCCACACCTCTATTGGAATATCATCAGATCCAACAACTTTTCCACTTCATTTTCTTTAAAGCTTCTCTAACTTCGGTTTTACTAATACGCCGATAAAAACAAAAATCTTTATTTTCATTTAGGATTCTTAGGTCACTAAAGTCAATCGTATTCTCACAATTTTCATTAAAAAGTTTAGCAAAATTTATTATCCGCCTTTGTTAAATATCATCTTCTAAGAAAATTACTTTTTTATCTTCATTCTTAATACACTTCACTTGAACTAAATCATTATTACTTCTATCTCTTTGTTTAGCTAACTTATACACATATTTTTCTCCCTTAGTATCTAATTTATTATATAAATCATTAAAAGCTAAGATATTTGCATTGCATATTATTTTCTTAGATTCCTTGCATGCCTCTTTATATATTTCCCAATTATCAATTTTTTTTACAACTAAATTAATTTTTATAACAAATCTTCTTATTTTTATCTTTTCTTGTACATTTAAATTTCACCACCAACTATTTTTATTATTAGACGTTTTCCCCTTTGATACTTCAAGCATATATTTTGCAATATTCTTAATATCACTAGACACTTTTTCCCACATAACATTAGCATCCTCATGCCCAGACAAAATCTTAAAATCTAAAATCTTTCTCTCAAAAATATTTTTTTTAATATTTTTTAAATGCCCCCATTTAATCTTAGAATATCTCTTAACTTTATTTTTTATTTTCTTCCCCTTCATCTTGAAGTCCAAAACTAAAAAGCAATGTTGGGTACATAAACTTTCACTCGGAATAACTTTATAATTATTGCAATATAAACGATCTAATTTTCTTATAAGAAAATAATCAATATGAGATTTACTATATTCATTCTTAAACATGATGAGATGTTGATCTCTTTTCTTAAATAAGATATTAGCAATTAAAAAAAAAATGTATGCAAATGCAATATATATGAATTGACTATAATGTATTGTCACTTCTCCTTATGAAGATACATAGTGTTTGACACATGTTAGACATGACCACACATCCGAAATGCCTCCAACACATGTCAGTCATGATGTCTGATTATAATAATACTAAAAAGTTCGGACACATGTCCTAAATATTTTATAAGAAAAGTATTTTTTAACTAAATTTCTTCTATTTTAATTTTTTTATTATTAAAAAACTAAAAAGCAAAATTTTTTCTTCCCTCTCTATAGCTCCAAATCAATCATCTACACGTAATTACCTGCCCTCAAACATTCTCATTTTCATTTCTCAACCGAGTAGTGGCTAGGGTTTCACATTGACACCTAATGCCATCACAACATCAATGTCCGACACTATCTCAATATCGACATCCGACACTATCACAACATCGACATCTGAAACCATCTCGACATCAATGTATGACACCGTCTTAATATTGACATCCACTGTCATCTCAAAATCAACATATGAAACCATCTCGATGTCATGATCTGATGCCATCTTGACAATGATGCCTGACATTAGCAATTTCTACACCCAGTTACACATCAATTCTATCTCAATAACTTATCTTTATTTAACTCCATCTCAACATCGATAGCCAACACCGTCTTGACATCAACGCCCAATACCCAATGCCCAATGTCGAATACACGACATTGACACTCGATTCTCAATAGTATTATCGTCTCCCATGTTGATTTTTGACTCACAATATTGACATCAGACTCTTAATATTATAATCTTAATCATTTTAAGAACAAATCTTATTTAAATGACTTATTTTTTTATTATTCTTCATATTCTGCTTATTTAATGTCTATGTACTACTTTTTAAGTTATAAAAAATATATTGTCATATCCAGCTCATATCCATGTCTTATATTTTTCAATAATTAGTTTGTCATATTTCCATGTCATGTCGTGTTCAGGTCTTTGCATCCTAGTGCATGCACAAAATTATATTAATCGTGTTATGTGATTTGAGATCAAATTTGAAGAGTTGACTTCTTAAGAATTATTTGGTGGATTATTTTATGGACTTAATTTGCTGACCTAATCTAAACCCAATTCTTTCAAGATTATTGGTTTTATGAGTAAATATTTTGATCATCCCATACACCTCCTTTAATGTTTTAGAACTCCCTCTCAAAAAGTTTCAGTCCATGTGAAGGACGGTCCTTCCATTGTAAGCACTTGTACAATACATAATACCATCCCACACACCCTCCATCCTACAAGCAGCTCTCGACCACTTCTTCAAAGCCACCTTCAATCAACTTCTATGAAGCCTAAACACTTCTATTAACCATTTCAGGTCACATAAACACAAAATAAAAATAATCATTCACATTCTCTTCAACAATCCTGCTATTATCATACATCAATTGGTATTAGAGCCTCTCAATTATCTTGCATCATTTTGTATCAATCATTGAACAGCTGCAAGAAGTTAAATCAACAAGGTTACAACCAACTGCATTCATATTGGTAAGAAAGCTTCATTCACACTAATTCATTCAAATCTACTTCTAATAACCTCCTCTCATCTTCTATACTCCATTAAAAAATATCTATCTCTGATCCTTTATCAAAAGTCCACCACAACTTCAACAGCTATAAGCATGCAAGTGGATTTCTAGCATTTAATGCAATGAATGTCACTTTGCATATGATTTCTTGTGAACTTTATAGCACAACAATAGTTTTTTTATTAATTGTCACTTCTAATAACTTCCATCAGATAAGTTTTGATTAAACTAATGCAAAAATTATAATTAAAAATATGCCTTGTTTATGGTGCCACTTGTAATAATCATATAGCATTTCCTATGCCTTGTCATTTACAACTTCGCTAATAGGTTTCACCCACTGAATTTATTTCCCACAAACTCGTACCTATTTATTTTATAGTTTTTTAGGTAACTATCTCATCATCTTAGAGTAGAAAGCTTCAAGATTTACAATTCAAGAACCTTGACAAGGTGATTAAGGTCAAGTTATTTAATTTATTTAACAATAGTTTATCTTTCAAATGAGTTATTATAATAGTTAACATTCGTTTATATTTTTGTGGATAAATATTTGGATGTCATGAACTTCTAGATGCTCCGATTATATATATCAATCATCGTGGACATGTTATACTCTTTGGATTAACTCTAAATTAATCAACTCACCCCCATCATTTCTAGTTACTGTTAATTTTCCTATAGACCCATTGAGCTAATTTTGACATTTGATCTCAGCATCTTAACCAAACAACTTTAACTCAAAAACCAGGCCAAGTCAATTGAGTTCCTTTAACAAAACAAAAAGGTAAAGAGATTAACCGGAAACTGCAATACCTACTTACAATGACCAAAACGTCACAACCTTGAGTCCCGATATGAGAAATCCATACTAGCAGTGACTGAATGAAAAAGAGAAAACAATAGAACTGAAGAAACAATCCGGCGGTTCCATCCCATCGCAACCCACTGCAGTAAAAACAGAGACAAAAAAGATGACGATCGCTACCGAAAGCTCACCAATCAGCGATGGTGTATTCCTCGTGCCACCTAGGCAACAAGATCCCTTCTGAAGAAATGGAAACACTGATCGGAGGAGAAGAAGATGAGGGCTGCGGCTGCAACGGGGACCCGAATGTAAGGGTTTACCACACAATGAGAATGAGGACAGAATAAAAGATAAATCCAACGAACAGAAGAGGACGCTTTACTCGCGAATCTTTACTTTCTCCCTCGAATACCTCGATATGGTCCATTGGGTGACGGATTATGGTATTCGAGTATTTCTGGAAGTTCACCGTTTTGTTGTCACTCTCTTTCAAGTTCCGGAAATATATATTGGTTCAGTTGAACTAGGCTTTATAAATCACGATAATCTCTCATATTTCACACACATAATTTTAATAATATTTCTTAGTTGAATTTGACTTTAAATCAAGTCAAATTGATTTGGGGCATATAGTAAATTGAGTCAAAATATATTAATTTGGTGATGACTTGTTAAGTTAAGGTTTCGTTTGGGGCGGCTTTATTGTTGCTTCTTAAAACAGCTTTTTAGTATAAAAAATTAAATTTTTATATTAAAAAGTTGTTTTAAGAAATAGTAAAAAAATCGTCCCAAAGGAAACCTAAGTTGATGAAAGAGATAAATTGAGAAAATTATTTTATTATGTTTATTGTCAATTTTTATTATATTGTTCTAATATTGTATAAAGATGAATTAATTTATTATTGAGAGAACTAAATCATAACTCATAAGTATAAATATGATGATGATTAAATCATTTTAATTTGAAATTACTTGGTTATAAAAGATAAAATCCATTCTTTTGGGATAAAAACTTTGTACCTTAAAAGTTATAGTGGAAGAATGAGTATATCATCTTAACTTTGCACAAAAAATTATATACACATGGATAATCATAAGAGACACAAGTTTTTATGTAAAAAATTAGGAAAAAAACATCAAAGCTTGGTTCAGCTGAAATGATCCACTATTTAAGTAAGTTTACAAAGGTTTGTCATCCATTTAATTAGAAAGGAAGGTATAAAAAATTATGGATAGCTAGTTGATCTCTAGTGATTGTGATAGAGAACACTAAATAAATTATGGTGGATGATGATAACAATCACATGATCTAACTTAGTCGATAGATGTAATTATCACCAAGCGGCGTTCAAGATACAGTCATTGGGTAATAAACTTTGAACAATAGAAGTCAAGCGATTATAGTTGAGCAATTGCAATCTGATGACGATGATCAAAGATGGTGATTGAGCGACGAAGTCAATAAATAATAGCTGGGCAATGACGATTGAGTAATAATGGTCAAGCAATTGTGAATAGGTGACAATAATTACTAATGGTGATCATAAATACCGATCGTAGGGCAAGGCTCTATAGCTCTTTATTTATCTGAGCTCACTTCAAATTCATGTCATCATCATGTGAAAAATAAGAATATATTTATAGTTATTTTTAATGACATTTTGGCAATTTTAACCATCATATAATAATAAAAATGTCAATTTTTTGAAAAAAAAAGTCCATTTTTTTTAATTATAAGAAAATATTGTAAATCCTCCTTCCTTCACCAATAAATGCCTACCACTGGTCAATTATAATTAAAATATTCTTATTTTTGGTGAATTTATGCAGTAAAACTAATTATTGCAATATCATAATTGTTTTAATGTAGGTAATATCTTTAGCCATGTTCATAATTGATATATCTTAGCTTTAGCCTTGAATCAATTAATTAGCATGAGGAATGGTGTTTACTATATTAGGTCGATAGCTGGTAATTAAATAAGCACCTTTCATAAGCAAGAGACTCCAACATTATTAATTAAGTTTTCGTTTGAGATTCTTTTTTTAATTACTTTCTAAATCAATTTTTTTTATAAAATTTTTTTGAACTAAAAATTTTTATAAAAAAAATTTATTTAAAAAAATTGTCCCAAACAAAATCCAAAAAACTTCATGAGCAACATTCTATTCAGGATCATATCTGTATCAAAGTACCAAAATTCAGTACCATCTCTTAATAGAGATAAAGCAGGTTATGCAACTTGCATCTTTGCATTATGTGGACAAATGCTAACCTAGCGCACAAACTATAAAAATATATGCTTTTATTTGTGTGCACAAAATTAGATGTAACTATTGTCTTAATTAAATTTATAAAAAGCAAAAGATAAATAAAAATGAAAGATTAATTTAAATGGTACTTATCTTATTGTATATCATTTTTACAACATGATGTAATATATTTTCTGCAAGTGGTCATCTTTGATTTTGCATTGCATAAAAACTTCGATGTGGTAACTAAGATAATAATGGACGGTCCTAAATATATCCTGAAAGTTCTATCAAGTAGGGGTGTCAATTTCGGGTCACGGGTCGGGTTCGGGTTGAATCTGAAACTGACCCGGCACTATTTGGATCAACCCGAGCCTGACCCGATTTTGAAAACGGGTCAGTTTTTTCTGACCCAAACCCAACCCGCTTAGGGTCCGGGTCAACCCGAATGATTTGTTTCCAACAAAAACTGCTAGTTTTCGGGTCAAAATGGGTATATCTCCTCTTTTTCGGGTAAAAAACGAGTCAAATGGGGCCAATCTCAGGTTGTCGGGTCAAATTTGGGTTTTCTGGTCAAAATCACATCAATTTCGGGTCAAAGGATTAACCCGAACCCGACCCGATTTTTGAAACAGGTCCAAATGTTGAACCTGAACCCGACCTGTTTCGGGTTCGGGTTGGCCCTAACCCAAAATGTTAGAGTCGGATTTTCGGGTCGTGTCAAATATTGACACCCTTAGTATCAAGGTTGAAAATGCCACAACATATATATAGGAGAAGATATAGAATTGAATAAAATTAAGATTGATTTAGAGTGTATTGAGTGAAAGTTGAAATAGTTATGAACTTAGGCTTCATTTGGAACGGCTTTTTATTGCTTCTTAAAGCATAAATTTTGTTACTAGAAAGCTGCTTTAAGAATCAGTAAGAAATCGTCCGAAATGAAGCCTTACTTGATTTAACAAAGTTCGATCAAAGTTGAGATTGTGTGGTTGATCACATGAGAAATTAAAATCATCTGAGATTAGATCTGAATAAGTTATCATTGGGTCTATCCATGATGATCATGTTAGTTCTCCTAAGGCCCTCCATAGGTCTACTAAGTTTGGAGATAGTCTAAGGGCATAATAAGTTGTGTTTGGTGAAGTCATGACTAAATGGGTCACAAACTCTAAATTATGTTTATATATGTTAAGGTTGTTAAAATCCAATTTTAAAAGTATGTCATTTTTTCTCACTCTCGTTATTCTTAATTTGAACGTGCGACTCAAATTTTTATGGCTTAAGTGAGGTGAACTTTTATAGTAGCAACATTATAATGCAGGATCAAAATAAAAAGATAGATTATCAATAGCTTTAATTTGTATAAACCATCACATAAAATACTAGAACCAATGAAATGATTATGCTTAATAAACAATATATATATATATATCTTTTCAAATTAAAAGTGTGTCCAACTATGTCAAATTTAAACAAAAGAAAATAAGTTTTTTATAAAGAGAATGAACATAAAATTTTTGAAAAAGGTCTAAATGATGTATAGTAAGTAAAATCAAACAATATGTTATAATGCCTTCAACCATTGACTTGATTACTAATAAAGATAAATATTACATTTAAGATTATAATTTATGCTATAAGCTTTCTTTGTATTGTATTGAAAACATATGTTATAAAACTAAAATAATTCTACCAAGTAATATAAAAAGTTTCAATTAAATTTCACTTGGAACATATTAAAGCATTAAGTTTTTCTATTCTTATTTTTATTTGAATAAAATCTTAGGCTTCGTTTGGGACAACTTTCTTAATACTTTCTAAAACCGTTTTCTAGTTCAAATATTTCTAATTCAAAAAATTTTGCAGTAGAAAGCCGTTTTTAGAAAGTAGTAAAAAAATTGTTACAAATGAAACCTTACATTTTTGCATTCTTTGTTTCTTATTATGGATTTTTTTTTCCCCCAAACTTTCTTTATAGATAATTGTCCCATAAGATTTATTGAAAGAATCTGTTATATATCTCGCTAGCTTGGCCTAGCAATTCATGCACGTTCCACTTAATGGTATTATGAACTATTTTGAATGGGGCGTATGAGAAGGCAAGGTGCTCTCATAATGAACTGGACAATAAAGTTTTTGTTCATTCATTTTCTCTCATGGATCATAGTTTTGATATTATATTTATCGTCTTGATGATGTGTTCAACACTGTCATGTGAACCATTAAATATTATGGTGGTTGACGTACCCATTAGTGTCATGGTTGATGACTTATTAGCTAGCAAGTCAGATAATGATGGTTCTTCCATATATTTCATGTGTTGCGCGCAGGCTTCCAGTCAAGGCTGAATCAGTTTCAATTTTGAGGGGAGGCAAATACAACATAAAAATAATTAAATATTAAAAAAATATTATATATATATTACAAAAGGTTTTTTAAAAAAATTTAAGCAAAAAAAAAATAAAGAAGAAAAGTATAATTAAACTGTCATGAAAAGCATGAAAGAGAATATTAGAACTAAATGTGAATAATCATATAGATATTTTAGGACAAGTTTGGACAGAAGAGTTTTTTAGGGGTGGCAAAAAAAAAATTTTTTATAAAATTTTTTTTTTACTCCTATAAATTTTATTTTTTTTTAGGGTGGCAATTGCCCCCCTAAGCTACATGTGGTTCCGCCCTTGCTTACAGTGCACTTTTAAGTGTTGGAAATTACAGACTTGATTTTGTTTGATGCTATTATGAGCATAAACATCAAGCTTATTCTCCTATTTAATTTTTCCAAGCATTGTCAAAAGACTTATGTAATTTGAAATAGCTTTTTTTATTATTTTGTAAAGCAACTTTTTGATATAAAAATTTCTACAACAACTACAACAACATCAGGCCTCTAGTTTAAAAAAATATATATTATGCTAAAAAATATTATAGAAAGCAATAAAATAGCTGTCCCAAACAAAATCTAAGGCTTCATTTGGGACGGCTTTCTTACTGCTTTTTAAAGCGGTTTTTTGTACAAAAATTTTACTATTGAAAAGCTGCTTTAAGAAGCAAGAAGAAAGCCATCCCAAACGAAGCCTAAGACTTTATTTGGAAGTCTTTCTAAATTTTCATGATAAGAAAAGTAGTCAAACAATATGTATTCAGAAGGCAGTTTTTTATCGCTATTTGAAAATTTTGGGTTTAAAAATTTGGGTTTAAAAAACTATTTCTA